ATAGGAAAGACAATGTTTGGATCACAACATGGATAGGAAAGTTTGTAGATGGATTATAGTATTTGTATGAAAGACAAGGATGAAACCCCTGACAATGGAGTCAAATTGTGAATTAAGACTTTACTATAAAAAATATAAAGTTTAGGATTTTCTTGTCAAATCGTTGAAGATATTGAGACTTTAATGTATATATCCCTTCTTTTTTTGTTAGAAATTTAGGCTATGTTTGGCGCGCCACAGCTAGCTGATAAGCTAGCTTATTTTTCGAGCTTTTTTATGTTGTCGTGTTTGGTAAGCCAAAAAGTAGCTTATAAGCTAGCTTTTTGAAAAGCTACTTAGACTAGCTTTTTAGGAGTTTTTTTAAAATTTTCTAAATACACCCCTTAATTAATTATAGAAACACATACTCTTACATGTCCTTTTATGTAATTTTATATATTTCAGCTAGCTTTTCAGCTAGTTTTACCAAACGCTATTTTTTATCAGCTAGCTTTTCAGCTATCAGCTAGCTTTTTATTTAACAGCTAGCTTTTCAGCTATCAGCTAGCTTTTCAGCTAACAGCTAGCTTTTCAGCTAGTACGCCAAACATAGCCTTAATGGTATGATAGTCTTTAAGCACAAGAGTTATTGGAACCTGCTTTGGTCAGCTAGATCCTATTAAAATCCATAACGTTAGCTTCTTGTTAAATAACTTTTTATAATCTCAACAAATCGGAATTGGAAAAAATGGAGATAATCAAGAAAGAAAGAATGAAAGATTCAGGGTTGTGTTGGTTTTTTGTAGTCTTAAAAATGAAGAACTAAGAAACCAAAAAAAACCAAAACTACCCTACTTTTTCACACCCTTTTGAATAGGTGTGTGAATATTTGTGTTTGTACAATCTGTCCCCTCCCGAGGCTGATAAAATTATTTGTTTTTAGGGAAACAAGATTATACACTAAAGTTAAAATATTTTCAACAATTTGAAAAAAAAGTCTGAAACTTTAATTTTTTAACAGTAAAGTTTTAATTCACGATTTTGACAAGAAAGTCATAAACTTTATTTTTTTTTTTACAGTAAAGTCCTAATTACCGACTAACCAGCAAAAAAATGTAAACGTTTCAAAAATTGTCGGTAGTTAGGACTTTACTGTTAAAAAAATAATGTTTAGGACTTTCTTGTCAACTCGTTGAAAATATTGAGACTTTAGTGTATATATCCCAATTTTAATTGGATTAGATTGGATTGAATTTGAATTTAATTTTGACTATTTGGATTAATGTTTTGAAGCCGAAATCAATTTGGATTCACTTGATTGGATCGGATCGAACCGATTCATCCAAACGAACACCCCTAATATATAGTCGTATAATTTTTTTGCGTTGAAACTAAATTTTTATTTTCCATATCTAAATTCGTAGCTATTCAATTGTAAAATTTTTTTTTCCTTAGCTGTTTCGGAATTTCCCTTGTAAATTTGTAATGCTATATGACTCGTCCAAACTCTTGTGACTAGGAAAACTAGCTACACATGCTAGTGATGCCACCCTTCATCTAAAGGACCAAGCAAAGTGCAGGCCTATATCTAAGTATGGCATGCTTGCTTGAAACAAGCTTAGATATCTCAAGAATCGGAGAATTTAACCGTGTAACATCCCTTGGGTGGTTTGTATATATCAATATTTCTGTTGAAAATAACTTGAGTTTTTTTTTTCGATTTGTACACATTTGGCCACTGAGTTTTTTTTTCCGTTCACAATTATTCTTTCAACCTGTTAAACTGTACACATTCAGTCTTTATGACTGACTACTCCAGGTTAGCCGGTAAAAATAACTTAATAAGATAATATATTTCTCACTTTGTACACATTTAGTCCTTAATATTTTTTTTGTTGTAAAATAAGTCATTTTTGTTTTTTGTACTCATTCAATACTTATGAATGATTTGTATAGGTTTTTCTCACGACATTTTACGTGGGATAATCATTAATGATGTGTTTGAGGCTTTTGATGATTATGTCCATCGCGATCTCAACTACTTGGTTGCTTAGGTCATCTGTTTTGAATGTCATAACTTCTTCGTACGATATCGGATTTTAACGATCTTTATATCTATGTGTTCGTATTTTATTCTACTACAACTTTCATTTAGATTACTCCCGTTAAAAAGTAATATATTTTTACTGATGATCTTTATATCCATATGTTTTTTATGAATGCATGTATGAATGTTCTTTTTATAAAATCGTAAGTAAAAATATATTACATTCTAACAGGAGAAATCTTAACGAAAGTTGTAGTAGACTCAAAAGCCGAACACGTGATATCATATGAAGAAGTTACGACGTTCAGAACACAAGATCTATGCCAAACCACAACACCTACGCAACCAAGCAGTCGAGATCGTGATGAACATAAACATCAACAACTCCAAACATCTCATCAATGCTTGTCCCACATATGATGTCGTGAGAAAAACCTAGAGAAATCATTTATAATTACTGATTGAGTACAAAAAAGACCTATTTTGAAACAAAAAAGTATTAAGTACAAAATGTGTACAAAAATATTAAGGACTAAATGTGTACAACATGAGAAATATATTACTCTATTAAGTTATTTTTCCCGGCTAACTTGGAGTAACCGGTTATAAGTACTGAATGTGTACATTTTAACAAGTTGAAGGGTTAAATATGGATGAAAAAAACTCAGTGACCGAATGTATACAAATCGAAAAATATATTAGATTTTTAAGTCATTATCCCTTTCTTAGCTATTTCGAAATTTCCCTTGCAAATTTGTAATGCTGTATGACTCGTCCAAACTCATGTGACTAGGCAAACTAGCCACACATGCTAGTGATGCTACCCTTCATCTAAAGGACCAAGCAAAGGACCAAGCAAAGTGCAGGACTATATCTAAGTATGACATGCTTGCTTGAAACAAGCTTAGATACCTCAAGAATTGGAGAGTCTGACGTGTAACATCCCTTGGGTGGTTTGTATATATCAAGGGTGGTTTGTATATATCAATATTTCTGTAGAAACTTGAAAATAACTGATACCCGAATAAACCAACTGATCCATTCTTAATTTGGGTTGATCAGTTCGGGTATATCGGCTTTGGAAATTCAGGTATTCGGTTAACCCGACATTCACTTGGTTCGGGTATCGGGTATGTATATAAAAAATTTGGTATACCCGAATATCCGATTTTTTCAAATGGTTAATTCCAAAAATCAAACATAAACTCACTTATCATAAAAAATATCATTAGCAACTTAAAATCTTAAACTACACAAACACAAATATACAACGTTGATGATTCACTAGCAACTTAAAAGTTTTATATAATATTCATCTCTGTTATTGCCTAATGTTTGCAATATGTATCAACGTCGATCCTTATATAAGACTATTTTACAATTATCTTTATATAAGACTATTTTATAATTCATTGATGGGGTTTTGCAAGCATTAATATGATCATCACGGATTAATAAATTAATTACAAAAGAAATTGTCATTGAAATTAAGTGTTATATCTTTTTTAAAAGGTACAGCAATAAAGCATTAACATTCACAAACACGTTCATCCTATGTTATCTTTTGTGAATTGAAAATATACTTACACAATTGGTATTGTGAATTGAAAATATACTTACACAATTGGTATTGTGAATTGAAAATATACTAACACAATTGGTACTGCAGTTTAGATAATATGCTGATTTTTTAGGGTAAATAGCACAAAAGACACTGCGTTTACACGAAAATTCTAATTTGACGTGTCAGTTTTGATGACGTGGCATTCTGACATGATATGCTGACGTGTCAGAATTGAATTTTTTCCACAAAAGACACTAAGCTTTTAATTTTTTTCGATTTTAACACTACGTTTATTTTTTTTTCAATTTTGACACTTTATTTTTTTGTTCCAAATCGAACATTATTTTTTTCAATTTTGTTCAATGCTGACCATTTTCCATTTGAAAACCGTATAAATATTTTTTTAATACATGTTAAGCCATATAAATATATTTTTTTTCATTTAAAAACCATATTTTTTACATTCAAAACATATGTTTTATAAATATTTTTAGTTATATAATGAGAGCCGAACTAACCATAAACTTCGAATAAAAATAACAAAATTTTATCAATTGTCACTTATGAAATATTATTTATTTTATTTTTTGTTATAGATTTTATACATATTTTTATTTACGATTAAATAATTATAAGGTTTCAAATAGAAAATGATCGGCATTGAAAAAATTGGAAAAAATTATTTTCGATTTGGAACAAAAAAATAGAGTGTCAAAATTGAAAAAAAAAATAAACTTAATGTCAAAATCGAAAAAAAAAAACGAAAACTTAGTGTCTTTTGTGGAGAAAAATCAATTTTGACACGTCAGTATGTCATGTCACCATCCCACGTCATCAAAACTGACACGTCATCATGTCATGTCAGCAAGTAACCTAGTTAAACGGTCAAGTGGTAGAATTGTAACAAATTAGAAAACACAATGTCAAATTTGAGACAAAATATAACACAGTGTCAAATTAGAATTTTCGTGTAAACGTAGTGTCTTTTGTGCTATTTACCCTTTTTTTACTTATAATTTTTAGCAAATTTTTCCGGATAATACCCGAACCCGATTTTGAATGCTCAAATTACCCATACCCGAATACCTGAATTTGATAGAAATTGGGTATCGGTTTTTTTTTTTTTTTTGAAAAAACCCGAACTACAGGACCCGAATTACCCAAAACCCGAAAGTTATACTCGATCAACACCCATAAATTCAATATACTTTGTAAAACATTTCTTTATAGTTCTCAATGAAAAATAAGCCTCAAACAAAATATGACATTCGTCATCTTTTATTCACAAAATATATCTCAAAATAAAACGAGGCAATGTTAAAGGATCAAAGCCTAAGCTTAGCAAAATAAGTCTCTATTGTATCCTCCCTTAGTCATCTTTAGTGTCTCCTCTATCCTCATTGGTGTGAATCACTCCTCACTTTGAACATAACATAGAGTAGTGCATAAGGCAAAGATAAGCCTAGTAAGTAATATAAACTTCAACAAGTTCACAAGTGTTAAATATAAATCCTTTCCCAATAAGTTTTTAGTATAATGGACAGTCCTTTGGAAAGGAATGTTAGAACAAAAAAAAACAATACAATAATTCTATGGTTCTCAAATAATATTTCTTATTTATCGTTAAAACGAGTTGTCAGATAATCGTTAATATAATATGAGCCACACTTAAGTGTATCTAATTGTCATGAAAGTTTTCTAGGTCTCTAGTAATTCAAACTCTCATAAATGGAATAATTACACGCTATTTCAATAATTAAGATTTCTCATTCTTAATCACCCTCTTTAACTTGTTAAAACCATTACAATGGTGATTCTCCATTAGAACACTTCCAAAGAT